CCGCATTTCCTCACCGATGTCTGGCGCCGATGGCGGAATCGGTCTGCGCCCTGCCGTGATAGCAATTCCACCGACTAATTGCCTTAGTGTCCTTCTCAATTGGGCCAACTTCGTTCTGTCCCTGGAAATCCGGCACAGGAAATCCCAGTTCCGACCTAGGACTCCAACCCCCACTTTCCTAAAATCCTTGGCACAACCCCAATCTCGCACTAAGTCTTCCGGGCCTACATCCACTCCGATCATGCCTTAGTGCCCTTTCGATTTGGCCAACTCCGTTCTGTCCTTGGAACTCCAGCACAGGAGATTTCAGTTCCCACCTAGGACTCCAGCCCTCACTTTCCTAATCCTTGGCAGTGTTGGCACACCCCCTATCTCGCATTTTTGGGCCTACACCCACTCCGATCATGCGTTAGTGCCCTTTTCGATTTGGGCAACTATGTTGTGTCCTTGGACTCTATTGTGTCCTTGGAGCCCCACCACAGGAGATCCCGATTCCGACCTGGGACACCCCCTATCACGCACTTTCAGGCCTACACCCACTCTGATCATGCCTTAGTGCCCTTTTCGATTGGGCCAACTCCGTTTTGTCCTTGGAACTCCGCCACAAGAGATCCCAGTCCGACCTGGAACTCCAACCCCCACTTTCCTAAAATCCTTGGCACACCCCCTATCTCGCACTTCCACACCTACACCCACTTCGATCAGGAAGTCGCGCAGGGCGTGAGGTTGGGCGTCACAAGTGAGCCATGAAGAAATGTTGCAAGGTTGGGGCAGTGTATCTGTAACGATCTCTTTTTGTGATGAGCGCCATCATCCGCACAATGGTATTATGGGGGTTGGGGAAGAAAGGGCCTGGCTCAATTGTGCAAGTCCCCCCCGTTCTTTCGAAAAAACTGGGTCCACGGCAGTTGGTAGGACATGCCATAGCAAGAACGGAAATAACAGCTGATGCAGCCTCTTTTTTTCTTTTTGGTTGACGGAACTGGGCAGGGAATTTTTGGCGCGATTGTCGCACGATGAATCTTTTTTAATTTCCTTTTTCGAATTTTAAACTTACATAGGTTCTCGAAATTTCTTCTTGGTATTAAGACTTTAATTAGGCTAGGGATTTGGGAGCATCGTAATTTTTGGTAGTAACTGCACGATGTTCCCTACTCGCGCGCATCATGCTGTGTTTTGTCTTGTGCTTTGTCCCCTCTGTGCCTTAATTGTATGTGTAACTGAAATCTCTTCAAGGTGGGCGCGGGTGTAACTGTAATCCTTCCTTTCTTGGCTTTTATTGTGCACCCTCTTTTCTCTTCGTTTCATTGGCCAAGACAGTGCATGACTGGATCGATGCATGGAGAGTGGCTACGACCCCCACACCGCGGCCTGGCCATGCAGCTGTAGGCACTTCCTCCTCTCTTCTACTTCAGCGCAATCCCGGTTATCTCGCGCGGATACTAAGTGCTATAAATTCTACGAGCGTGACTAATTCACTCACAACCAAACTTCGGAGTTAGTGTGGTCGAGGAGATCGGCTAACGGGCAGGAGCAAGACGGTGAGTGGGGAGTTGGGCGATCCGACGGGCTGGTGCTGAGTATGCGGGGTTGACATGTGGCCGCGAAGGACTGTGGCACACGAGCGAACCTGGCTTGCAGACTTGGACTAAACGGGGTGACGACTCTGTTTTGTTGATAGATGTGAGGCGACGAACTGCCCGCATCGGAGGAACGCGGAGAGAGAGAGAGAGAGAGAGAGAGAGACAGAGAGAGAGAGAGAGAGAGAGAGAGAGAGAGAGAGAGAGAGAGAGAGAGAGAGAGAGAGAGAGNAGAGAGAGAGAGAGAGAGAGAGAGAGAGAGAGAGAGAGAGAGAGAGAGAGAGAGAGAGAGAGAGAGGGAGTGGTGTGCTGGAGTGGCGTTTCTTGTTGTTCTATCCATACCCTCTGTATAATGTTGGCTTCGGCATTGGCTATTTTTGTTTGCGGCCTTCTCAAATTTTCTTTTTCTCTTCAGCATGTGTTGATAATGTATAAATTTGTCTCTTCCCCCCTCGCCTCTTTCCCGTTTTAGGAAGACATGAGTACAAGGTTATTATTGCTTCGATCAACTGAATAGTTGTGTTAAGAATTTTGAATGCCTTATCACTAAGCCTAGGAATTATATGGCTGCATGAATTTGAACGATGGTCCTCTTCTTCTCCTTCTTGCATATTTGTCACGGTATGTCAAAAGTGGGTTGTTTGAGTAGATGTTTAGACCGTGCTGAATTGTGAATGATAGTGGCGATTGAAAATAGATGCATCCATAGCTCGGATTGTCAAAAGTACGAGGCGGACAATCTCCCGGTCTGTCGGAGACAGATCTTGTGAGCGTGTACGTACGTACGACTAAGTAAGTCCCCGCGTATATATGTGTCCGCATGATCTACCTCCGACTAGACTACCCGCAAAGGCATGAACACAGGTTCCCTCCCGAGAGATGGACATCGGCCTTCCTTTCTGGATGACTGACCACGACTGTCTGAGAGACCCCCAGTACCGGAAATACTGGGAAAACGAGCATCTTTCTCGACAAGCAAGGTTGGGATTTTTTGCCTTTCCATGTTTAAAACAAAACGATAGGGTGTGTGCATGGGATTTCCAACAGGCAATAGGACAAAATCCCTGAATCCCAATTAGCCTCAGTACGCGCAATCACATGTCCTTCACGGCCCCGGGATTCGTCGCCATAACCACCGAGTTCCATCCCTTTTATCACCTCCTTCCTTACCACACTCTGTTAGTTGTTCCCTGGAACCCGATAGCCCCTTACTGGCCACGAAGGCCGTGTTCAAAGTGTCGACAGTATAATTCCTACCGAGCCGCCGGGTTTGTCTGACCTACCCGTTTGGAAGCCGAACACCGAGAGCATAGCCTCTGGCTGAGGCCGTCCACGTTAAACACTGAGATTTGTGAAACCCCACTGGCAACAAGTGTTGGTCCAAACGGACAGCCACTGTATCCCCCCAGTCCACCGGATCCGAATTTGGCCCAAGCGACGGGGCCGTTGGACATAGCCATCCCGGTTCTGAGAAGAGGATCAGGAAACCTGGATCCTCGCCGAGTCACTTGGACTTTTGTCCTTCAAACTTGACACGGACATAAACATTTTCCAGAACTAATAATCATTCTATAGTAAAATTACATTCTAAATTTTAAATTTTCATTCCATCTTTAAAAATGTCATTCCAATTTTAAAATTTTGTGTCTTACTTGAAAATTTTCCTTCCAAGGATGGGGTATCCCTTCTTATTTAAACTGCATGCTAAAGATGGAATGGTAGTCTAGATGAGTTCATAAAATTGTTACGATCCTGGACAAATTTGAAGTATACATTCATCTGAAAGTGCAATGCCATCTAATTGCAAAAAGAAATGGCATTGAATGAACTTGAGAGGAAAGAGAGGGAAAGAAGAAGCATAAGAAGTGAGAAAGAAGAAGATGATGATGTACTCCAGCATAGACCAATGTCAAGGCTCTTCTTCTTCTCCAACCAATCCCTTCCTCCTTATCTCCTCCTTGTTATTCAAACAAGAAATAACAATAATAATGTTGAATGACTGAACCAGAATCAATGTCTGAATCCCACTTCTACTGCAGGCACAACATGAGGTCCACCATAGTCATGGCAACCCTTCCTCTTCCTCTACATACAGGTCGAGGCTATGGCGTACTACTGAGGCTTCAGCCTCCTGTCCAAAGGACAACCCAAAGCAGCTATGCAGCCACCCCACTTCAAGGTCATCACCAAGCAGCTATGCCGTGCCCACTCAACCGCCATGCCTGACTCTGCCCGAGTTTCCTTGATGCAGCACTACCCCCACTGGGCCTTCCAGATGCAGCGCCTAACAAGGTGATGAAGATGGTGTCTACCATAGCCAGGTAAGTAACCTACCACTCTCCTCTTTGGTCCCCTTCTCCCTCCTACTCCTACCGGTAGAGCTCCACCATAGCCAAGGTGGAAGCTCCCGACTTCTTCCTCCCAGCAGCGTTGTGGTACCCAGCGCTACTCCAGCCAGCGCTCCAGCAGCGTGTCGCCAAACTTGCACACTGAAGAATGAGGTTGGGCTCTCCGCCCGACCTCTTGATATAGCGGCCTACTTGCCTCCTAGGTGGTGACTTCCAGGCCGCTCGGCCTCCCCAACCAACCGGTACTTCCTCCGTTTCGGAGGTAAACATCATTGCAGACCCTAATATTAACTGTACAGGCTCTAGACTCAGACATGTTGGACTGGTACCGGCCTAGACCTACCCTACCGCTACTGGACTCTAAAAATGCCAACTTTGTCTTCTTCTGCTCGGCCTCCAGTACCCCCTCACGCCAACTACAGTGGGGTGCAGTATCGGCCTACCTGCCCACTTGAGTGTTTTTCCGCTACCCCAAGGGCCGCGGGGCCGCTAGCTTCGCCACTTGAGTGTTTTTCCCTGATACAACCCTCAATGCCACGACCATAGGTAAGTATCGGCCCTACGGGCCTGCCAAACAAGCAAGTACCCTTGCGGGTCACACACACACTCATACCGACGAGCACTCAGACAAGCACGCAGGTCACAAGCACGCACACACAGTCAGACTTAGAAAACACAGCAGAATGCGGGAATCTCAGCAAGGCATCCATTCCATCGGCAGAACTTCAGAAATCAGCAGTGTTCTCAGTCTGTGTTTTGACGGGTCATTACAATACCCCCCCCTCAAGAGCGAGGTCCCTTTGAGCGAGTAACTCAATCAGAGTCCTTGCACAATGCATCATAAGCGTAGATAGTGAAAAGAGATCGGGTGTGTTCCGTAGGAGTTAGGGTAGCAATGAATTTTGGTTGTTAGTCAGAGTTTCTCAATCGTTCATAGGCGTTAACGACGCGAGGTGCACTCTGCAGTAAATCCTTCTTAGCAATCCAGTCCTAGTCATTCAGTGGATGTACAAAAAATGCACTTTATACTGTCTGTTTCTCTCTTTTCCACTGTGCTCGGCGATTCTATCAACCTCGTGACCGCCATTGATTGCGCGGGGAATCATCGATTCTCAGTACTTGAACGTCTCAGGTGGCTCATACGGAAATAACTTTGATGCGTGAAAGACTGGGTATGTGCGCAGATGAGCAGGCACATCAATCGTGTAGGAAGGACCGAAGGAATCATTGCCTACTCGGTTCAGCACCTTCCAAGGACCGTAGTACTGAGGAAGAACTTTCCGTGATACACCTTCTTCTTAAAAAAACTCAGACATCTTGACCCAGACATAACTTCCCACAATGAAGGGGTCATGCTGGTGCTTTTTGTTTGCATGCTTAATCATAGCACTGTGTCGCCTCTCCATAGCTGCGTCAGCGACTTTAAGCAAACGATCGTACTTAGCACTGTAGCCTGGCTGACCAGGTGTTAGGCCAGGTGGCTGTTCCGGGAACAGATAGGATATAGGATTGCAGATTTTCCATCCGAGGTGCAGCCGGTTAGGCGTCATCCTGGTGGAGGAGTGGATGGAGTTGTACAATCCCTGCACAATCGGCAACTCCTCATCCCAAGAGTTCTGGTCAGGCACGATAAGAGCCCTGAGAAGTTGGATTACGGTCTGGTTAATTTCCTCAGCCAGTCCATTCGCCTCGGGGTGTCGACCAGACGTCATTTTGAGTTTCATGTCGTAGGTCTGGGAGGTGAAGTCTTTCCAATCTGCACTTATGAACCTAGTATCCCGATCACTCACAAGTGTCTTCAGGGGACCATTATGCAGAATGTACCTCTTGTTAAATTCTTCGATCACAAGGTCTGTTGGGGCGTGAGGTGGCAATGGGATTAAATTCGAAAATTTGGAAAAACGATCGACGATCACCATTACTTGTGAATAACCGTTTCTGCTCTTCTTTCCCATATCCGTGAGGTCAATGGAAACCGACTCACCCGGACCATCAGGAATAGGAAGAGGGTGCAGCAGCCTATAGGGCTTCTGTCGAAACGGTTTGATGCGTTGACAAACTTCACACTCAGCCACAAACCTTTGTGCCATTCTTTTCATTCCAAGCCACACAAACTTTTCCAACAGATTCCCGTATGTCTTCTCAACACCGAAGTGTCCACTTCGACCATGAGCCAAATCCAAAAAGTGGGTCATGATTGGCTCATGGTTGGGCACACACGATCGGCCATCCTTCCCGTAGCGTCGGAAGAGAATGCCCTTACATTCATGGAAATCAGGCTGACTGCTATGGTCAGCCCGAATCTCCTCAAGGATGGGACTGAGTTCCGGATCCTTGGCAGTATGCTCAATAAGTTCCTCCTTCAAATTTTTACGGAGATCATAGGAACCCACAAGGCAAGTTATGTACTCAGGGTGGCGAGACAAAGCATCCACAACTCGATTATAACAGCCTTTCTTGTGCTTAATCTCAAAATCATACACATCAATCTCATGCAGCCAGCGGGTCAATGTGGTTGAGGGATTAATCTGTGTCTGAATCCATTTCAAAGTCTCGTGATCTGAGAACACTTTGAAATGGCGACCCAAGAGGTAGTGTTTCCAATGGTCTAGTGCCTCTCTCAAGGCATAGAGCTCTCGCATGTAAGTGGAAGCAGCTACCTTGTGACTGGGCATGCGTTTGCTGTAGTATTCAAGCCGACGTAAGCCATCACCATCGTCTTGCTGCAGCACCGCACCAATCCCATACAAACTTGCATCCGTAGTTACTACGAATGTAAGCTTGGGATCCGCAATGCGGAGCACCAGATGACTCACCAAAGCCTCTTTCAATGCTTCGAAGGTTGTCGTGCATTCCTCATTCCATGTGTAGGACACATTCTTGCTTGTTAGTCTAGACAACGGACGGGCGATGATAGAGAATTTTGGCACAAACTTACGGTAGTACGACGCAAGACCAAGAAAAGAACGCAACTCGCAAACATTCGCAGGTTGAGGCCATTTTTGGATGACCTCAACTTTGGTTGCCTCGGGCTCTAGGCCTGCAGCAGACAACCGATGTCCAAGGTAGATGAC